TTGAAATTAAAGAGGCAAAATTTGACGGTTCATTTAACGAAAGAATTGACAGCTGAAATTTTGGTATGATGATGATGTAAATGATATGTCCCTATTAGAGAATTATGTCTTGACTTACGATGTAATCAGTTGCGTTTTGAAAACTGCAACATCAAAGTCATCAAATTAGGCCCGTCGCAAGGTGGAAATTGAGGAGAAATTCAAATAGTTGATTTTTCTCAGATCTTTTATGTTTTTTGGGATGATGAATCTGAATTTGATGTTACCAGGGGAACCTCAAAGAAGACTAAAAACGTAGTGGCCTTGGGATCTGCTCACAATGTGAATACATTTTAAAGAAATAGCAGAAAAACGATCTACAGATCATTCGCTAGATGCGTTCAAACGCAATATATAATAAAATATAAATAATAATGATAAAAGCCTTAGCGAACCCGAAGGTTCGATGCCGACACCACTAATCGCTTATTACACACCTCCCTCCACCGTTCACCGTCCAAACCCAGTCCCTTCAGATCGGCTTTAACGCAATCTTCTCACCTTCGCTTCGGTCTATTCCTCTGACGTTTACCATTCGGTACAGTAAATATTAACCTTTTAGGAATTCTCTCGTTACTAAGCCCAACAACTTTACAAGCCCATTTGATTCGCCGCGATGAAATTACCTCAATTATATTACCCGGATACAGTTCACACAATTCGGAGTTGTGTAACCTTCTGAACTCTCCAGTTAACTCATCCTTCTTCGGTCCTAATATTTTATGCAATACATTATTTTCAAAAACTTTAAATATTTGCTCATCCCTTAATGTAAGCGATCACGTTTCCATCCATATAATTGCATATTTTGATTAATTTAACAAAATAAAAATATATGAACGAATATTTATTTATTTATATACACTGACAGGCAAAAAATTCCACCCACTTGATTTTTCCATGTTTTCATCTAAAAATATTTCTGTAAAGTTGTATTTGTATATAATACATGGTATTTGTAGTTAATACTTAGTATTTATGGAATTTTATAACCATTTTTACCTTTAATAATCAAAATATGATTGGGTAAGAAAGATTAGAGAAAAAAAAATTGAAAAACGAACCATTATTATTCTAAAATAAATTAATGACACCATCGTTTAGTAGCGCGTGTTGCTTCCTCTTGCCTTCACTAATTCGTGAAGACGCCTCGGCATACTTTCCACCAGTCGGGAAATGCCCCTTTGCTGGAGGATAGCCCATTCCTCCCGAAGAGCCCTTTCAAGATCCTGCAGTGTATCAGGAAGTGTTGCACGCGCTCTTATTCGTCTTCCGAGGTTATCTCATAAATGCTCAATGGGGTTCAAATCTGGAGAACGTGCTGGCCAGGCTAAAACCTCAATATTGTTCTGTTGAAGGAACGTCTGCACTATGCGGACAACATGTGATCGTGCATTATCGTGCATTAGAATAGAACGATCGCCGATTTCGTTGAGGATAGGCAACACATGAGATTCCAAAATCTCATCTACATAGCGAATGACCGTCAAAGACCCTCCACGAACAACAACCAATTCTGTTCGGCGCTCCATTGAAATCCCAGCACACACAATTAAGGAACCACGTTGGAAAGGTTGGCTCTGTTAAAAATTACAGGCTGCATATGTTTCGTTTCTTCTTCTCCACAACCTTTCACGCCCGTCTGGAGATCGAAGAGCGAATCTTGACTCATCTGTAAAAAGTACAGCACTCCATTCGTCCATAGTCCAATGGCTGTGTTCTTGAGCAAAAGCCAGCCTTGTTACTCTGTGCGTTCTGGTCAACTCTGGTCCTCTTACTGGACGAAAAGCCATTAATCCATACTCATTTAATCTTAATGCTAGATGTGCTAAATTATAACTTCTGGAGAATACATTTTTCTTTTTAAAAGACTGGATACTTTTTAAAATATTTGAAGCAGTTTCGTAGAAAATTTCCTTTATTCTTAACGAAGGTAGTTTAAGATGGCTTCTATTATAATAATAAAACTTAATTCAAAAATACTTTGCTGTATTTACTGAATTTTTTATTTAACGTTTGCAATTTAACAGTTTGCTTTGTATATTTACTTATTCTTAGAGGTAATTTAAATTGTATATACTTCCCAGGAAATGATTCATATTAACACCTGTTTTATAAACTAAAATAATATATACCTAATCTGAACTACATATAATGAATAGTTGATGGCTTGTTTAGTAAAACTCATGTATCACTAATAAATAATTTTTTTTTCTTATTTTAATGATATTTACAACTGTATTAAAGAAATACGTTTAGTAAATTTGAGCATATGGATATAATGACATGAAAACACTTGTTGAGAAACTAACTTAATTGTATCACTCTAATGATATGTCTAAATTAGGAGATCACTGGACCATCTTCTTTTCGGACGCCGCGGAGGGTTATCAGAAATTGAAGAGGAAGCAAGGTTAGAAACGAGAGGATTGGGATAATTATGAAGTTTATTATGGAAGGATAGGTATCTGGATTGGGCCAGATCTGAAACATTAAGGTCGTTATGGATGGTTTTATTTGTAACAAAGCAGGGAGCAATAAGGATATTGGATTGTAAGGAATTTAAGGAAAGGTTTTATTTGTAACAAAGTATTGAGCGTTGAGGATTTTATGAAGGATTTTATATTGCAAGGATTGGATACGAAAGGCATTTGATTGTTTAGTGGAGCCCCATAGATCAACTCCGTAAGTCCAAACAGGTCTTATGATAGTCATGTATATGAATCTTTTGTAATTAATTGGAAGTTTAGAGCGTTTGTCTAGAAAGTGCTGAAGTAGTCGGAAACGTCGAGCGGTTTCTATTCGTTTCAGTCTGGTATGAGGATTCCAAGTTAGACGTTTGTCCAGGTGGAGTTCTAGGTAGCGGATTTGTTCAACAGAGATAAGTGGAGTATTGTTAAAGGAAACTGTAGGACAGAAATTCATAGGTACGACGAAGGGTAAAGGTAATTTGGTGGAATTTATTTTAATTCTCCAGTTCTGACACCATTCTTCAAGGTTTATGATGTGTGATTGAAGTGTTTGGGATGCAATTGATGGGTCATTATTAACTGATAGGATACATGTGCCATCGGCATAGGTGGTGATGACAGTGTTGGGATAGGTTGGGATGCTAGCTGTATAAACTGTATAAAGGATAGGACCTAGGATATCCTGAGGAACATTGCGGACTGGGAAAAGAGGGATGAATAAGTGTTTTTGTGATTTACTATAAAGTATCTATCAATAAAATAGGAACGGATAATGAGGAAGTATGAATTTGGAAGGAATTTCTGGAGTTTGTACGGCAGTCCCGGGTGCCAAACTCTATCAAACGCCTGTTCAACGTCGAGAAAGACTCCCGTACAGTAGATTCCACGCTCCAATGCTGAAGAGACTACGTCTACCACACTAGAATTTATGATGGGGTACAGGCGTTTTAAGATGCTAAAACTAAAAGATGCTATAAGTTCTTCTAGGTAACCGGAACAGATTGTTCGTATTTGGTCCCTGGGGATCTCAAAACGTGTATTTCAATGCAAAAAAAGTAGATTTGAAAATTTTGACGGTCGCAATACTATTACATGTATTGGCAAGTGAAAGTAAAAATTTAATGGAAGTATAAGTGTTGGTTGTTAATATTAAATAATACCATCACTTGAACGAATCCACTTTTTACTAATATTACAAACATGTGATTTAAGAGTATTTTCAGGTTATATTTTATAATGAAGCTAATCTTAACATGCCCTTCTTCGAGCTAACAACATACAATAGATACAGAACAAAATTGAACAATAAAAATATAATAATACCATAAATAATACACAAAAATAATCATAAATAATATTTTAACATTTTCTTTTAATTTCATTTCACAAAAAAGGTGAGATATTCTAACTATGCCGCCATATCGTCTCCTCTGGTTATGATGGAACTAGGTTATGTTATTATTAGAGCTGTTTGAACTATCTCTACCTTCATCTACAGGTTTATCTTAATTATTAAAATATAATCATGCTTTCCTAATTCATATGGTTTTTATATTAAACACTTCTATCAAGCCACTTTATATTTTTAACACAATAAATCCAATTAATATTAAAAAAATGTGACTTTAGGAAAGTTATCATTAGGTAATATTTTACTCTGTAATATTTACATCAGATGTTTCCCATTAATTAGACAGAATGGAATAGGAATAAGTTTATTTCTTGTTTAGATTAACAAAGGACTAGAGAAACATCTATTTATGTAAAATAAAAACAACCTAAATAAATACATAGCTACTAAAAATGTATTATATACATATTATTTCAATCACCTGAAAACCATTAAATACATACTTTGCTACCGAAACTATATAATATACAAATTCATGAAATTGCCAGAAAACATGAAAAAAAAACTGTTAATTGAAAATGTTTAAACATACACGGATTAAAATATGGTAATGTGGATGTTTTTTATAGTAAAACAAATAAATATTTTTTTAGAAAAAAGATGTCTGGAGGGAATTTTTCTCGAGTCCAGCCCTAATGAAGGCCAGAACTTTGTGCCGAAACATCGGCAAATATAAGAATATATATCATTTATTTATTTTAATTTTATTTTTTATTGAACACCCCAGCCAACTTCTCTTCAATTATTCACTACCATCAATCCACTATTAAAAAAAAAAGATTAGTAATCCATTTAATATTGAGAATATGTAATGGTTTAACAAAAATTAAATCACATATGATAACAGAAAAATGAACAATAACAAGAGCATAAATAAATTCTAATAAAATCACATAAAAAATAGAAAGAAATTCTTCTATGTCTTTATCAATGGTTACATTTAAAAAAAGTCTGTTCATACATCTAAAAATGTTATGTAAATATCACAATACATTATTGGCTAGCTTTTAGAAATAGAGGATTAATATGGCAAATAATTTTAAACTTTATTTAATTTAAATATAGCTAGATAGTTATTTTTATGTATTTAAAGGTGAATAAATATACCGAAACTTTCCTGAGTTTACTTTAAAAAAATAAGGTATTCCCAATTTTATGCCAGGAATTTTTTCCACCTGTATTGCGCTTATCTTATCCAATTTAGGTTCCAAGGGATTTGATTTATTCAAATAATATGATAATGTGATGTTTAGTTGAGTAGCCGAAAGGTATCCTATAACATCCTGATGTCCTTTCCAAGAAGCTGCGTAATTCAAAGCAGTGAATCCCCACTTATCTTTGTTTTCTATTTTTAAAAGAGCCTGACGAAGGAGTTTCACTACTTCGAAGTGTCCTCTGGCAGCGCTGCGGTGCAAAGCTGTCCTTCCATTGATGTCAGGCTGAAGACTTTCGACTCCGACCTGCAAGAGCAAAGCTACCACCTTAGTGTGCCCTTCTCTGGCAGCCAAGAACAAAGGGGTTTCTTCATAAATGTTCACATATGTAGTTTGCCTGATGAGCTTTTTTATGTCATAATTCATCCATGGAATTTCGGGTAATAACTTGATTATTACTTCATAATGGCCGAATAATGCGGCGTAATGCATAGGTATGTTGAGCAACCTATCCCTACTGAATGGGTCTGCCTTTGAAGCTCTTCGCTCCAACAGGTACTCTATAGCTCTAGAAGAATTGTCTCTAGCTGCAATATGTAACGGTGTCATTTCGTTGTGGTCCTTTGACTGTATATCTGCACCATAATAGAGCAAAAACATTCCAATCTGGTATTCAAAATATGTATTTCGTTCAGATTTGTTGTTCCATTCGCACACCAGATGTAATGGTGTGCTGCCGTTTTTGTTTTTTCTATTAACGGAAGCTGTACAAAAATAAATCATTTCCCGGACTACACCAACGTGTCTTCCTCTTGCGGCGAAATGTAATGGGGTCATATCATCAATGTCAGCTGCATCCTTTTCAGCTCCTTTTTTCAATAAGATGTGCACTATTGCCTCATGACCCTCGCGGGAAGCTAAATGCAGTGGAGTTTTGAAATCAATAGTTTTAGCTTCTTTATCGGCATCAAGAGTCAATAACAACTTGGCTATTTCTAGAGATCCGTTCATTGCTGCCAGATGAAGAGCCGTGTATCCACTGTGATCTGATTGGTTTACAGCAGCTGGTGGATCAGAAAGCAGTAATTCAGCAATTGGAAGTAGACCTTTTCTGCAGGCGATGTGTAGGGGAGTGGTACCGTTGATATCGGCAGAACTTTTGTTGGCTCCAGAATCCAACAGAAGTTTCACAACTTCCACATGATCATTCTCACATGCGTAATGAAGTGGTGAATATCTTAATGGTCTATCTTTAACTTCTAAGGAAGCGCCGTATGATATCAATAGTCCGGCGAGATCCTTGAGACCGTAATAGGAAGCAACATGCAGCGCAGTCGCATTATGGATCTGTATAATGCTGTTGTTGGATGTAAAAAACCTTACGTCACAGTTGGCATCCAAAAAAAATTGAAAATTCTTCTTGCTGATTTTACTCGATCCTGTTACTAAAATTAATTTCACATATGCCATACTTCTTGACATAACTGCTAAAGTAAGGGGGAGATTACCATGGATGTCTTTCTCCACAACGTCCGCTCCGTGAGAGATGAGCAAATCGATTCCTTCTGAAAACCGCGTCCCAATGGCATGGTTAAGAATAGCTGTTGGGTAGGAGTTGAAGTTTTTAGTGTTATTCAACAAGAGCTTTACAATTTCTATTGATTTATTTGAAACCGCATCGAAAAGAATTTTCGATCCTAAGAAACTGTTATCTTCCACTTTGGCTCCATGAGTAAAAAGTAATTTCATAAATTTTTCAGATAAAGGATCAAAAGTTAAATCTAAAGGGGTCTGTCCGTCTTCGCTCATTATATTTGGATCAGCATTCTTGGATAGAAGATATTTAATGAAAGCAGTGTCATTCCTTCTAATTGCCATGTGAAGGGCTGTGACACCATTACATCCGTTTCTATTGACATCATCCCCGTGTTTTAACAAAATATCTAGCACTTTAACATTTCCAATACTAGCTGCCCACTGGAATGGGGTGAAGCAAAGATAATCTTCGATACTCAAGCTGGCGTTCCAGGACAGCAGGTAGTCAACGACTCCAGCATAACCTCCAGCAGCAGCTCTATGGAGCGCTGTTTGTTTCAGATAACTTTGTGCATTCAGTTCGGCTCCGTGATCCAAGAGGGTTTTCATTACAGAGACTGTTTTATTTTCAAATTCGTCATCTTTCAAAATTGTATCGTCATTCCGAACTGCAAAATGTAGAGGCGTTTCACCATGTTCCCCTTCACTATTGACATCCGCACCGTGGCCAAGAAGCATCTCAATTATTTTACTGTTTCCACCCTGAGCTGCAAAGTGTATTGCCTGATTACCGAAATTGTCTCTTATATTTAAATCTTTTTTTGAAAAAGTGAAATTAACCATTGCTTCATCACCATTCGAAGCAGCGGCCATCAATAGTGTTGTTCCGGTTTCCCCTTGGACAGAGACGTTAGCGCCTTTATTAACAAGAACTTTTGCTATGTTTATGTCCTTTTTCATTACTGCGAAGTGCAAGGCAGTATTACCAAACGCGTTCTTCAGATCTATACTAGCATTCTTTGACAACAATAAATTTACTATATCTTCGTTTCCTTGCGAAGTAGCCATCATCAAAGGTGACTCGTGGTCAATATTCAACTTATTGACGTTAGCTCCATTTTTCAGAAGAGAGTCAGTTATATTTTTATTCATTTTTCTTATTGCTGTATGCAAGGCTGTATTACCATTCGCGCCCGTGATATCTACACTTACATTCTTTGTCAATATTAAATTTACTATCGATTCATGGCAGAAAACAACAGCTATGTATAGTGGTGTGAAATCATAATAATCTCTAATATTGATATCAGCGCCATGATCGAGAAGTTTCTTAACTATATTGAGATGTCCTCCTCGTACTGCGTAATGAATAGGAGTGTCATAGCAATCGTCGAAAACGTTTAAATTTGCATTTTTTGATATCAGCTGATTCACAAGAGATTCGTCTCCCCTCCAAGCGGCCAAATGTAAAGGTGTCTGGCCATGCAGACCTTTGATGTTAACATCGGCATTTGTTTTACTATGATATTCTTTGGTTTCCTCTATAGTTATGGACTCGCTATGCAAAATTTCTGAATGTTTTTCTCCAATAGAATTATTTAACCCTAATTTTAATTTGTAAATATCGTAACATCCTACAGTATGCTCAGCTTCAGAAAGATTCATGTAATAATCATCGCAATATTTAATATCCCGCTCATGGGTGATCTCCATTCCATCTTTCTCCACCTAAAAAAAAAAAAAAAAAAAATTTGAATGCAACAATTTTTTTACAATTATTTCATGGCGCTATATTTGCGAATCAACTATTAACTGTAGGTTTATCTATTGCAGGACTGAATGAAAGCAGAAGGAAATAAATTTACAGTTGTTATGACAGTAACTGTAAATGACAGTTACTGTAATTTATATATAAACTAGCGATTTAAAAAATACATATTGTTTTTTACTTTCACTTACCTATATATCGAATATATAGTAAGAGAAAGAATTGCGATCGTGGAAGTGTTTTTTTTTTCTTTTACTTCTTTATTGAGATATTACATACTTAGTAATAGTGATACAGAGGAGCTTATTCATACCATACAATAAATAAAAATAATAAACTGCAATAAAATGATACTAAAGTAAAATGTATATTAACTAAAAGATATTAAACTAAATAAAAAGGAACCAACCTAACAAAATAAATATTTAATATTTACAATATTCAGTCATTCAAGATCTCCGAGCCAAGCCTTTCCCCACACTCGTGGAGGGAAAGGCAGAACTCTAGGATATCCCAGCGTCTTTCACTCAGCCTCATCAATGATATTACCAATGGAGGCTGAGCAGAGACACTAAAACCAGATATACATGGTTTGAATGGAGAATCTGGCCATTACCATAACTTCTATATATTCTTACAACAAGTCTCTGGGCCACTGCCGCTTCAACCTTCGAGGAAGATTGTAGGGATGAGAGTGCTATAGAGGGATTGTACAATTGGATTTGAATATGTAAGGTTTTAGTGGAATTTGGAAAATTTTTGAAGGACAAGGTCTAGGACAAATGGGATATTAAGGTCATGCTGTAGGGTTTAGTTGGTTACATAGAACGGAGCATCAACTATTGAAGGACTTTGGACTGAAAGGATTGAATGCGTTTCATGTTAGAAAATTTTGCTGTCCCCCACAGTTCCAGTCCGTAGGTCCAAATAGGTTTCAGTATTGTCTTGTAGATCAGAAGTTTGTTGTCAATTGAAAGTTGAGATTTTCTGTTCGGTAGTCCATATAGCTGGCCATATTGTCAGTTGAGTTCTTGTCTTTTGAGTCTTGTATGTGGGTTCCATGTCAGTCTTCGGTCTAAGAGAAAGCCAAGATACCGGACTGTGTCTGATTAAGGTTCGATGCCGACACCACTAATCGCTTATTACACACCTCCCTCCACCGTTCACCGTCCAAACCCCGCCCCTTCAGATCGGCTTTAACGCAATCTTCTCACCTTCGCTTCGGTCTATTCCTCTGACGTTTACCATTCGGTACAGTAAATATTAACCTTTTAGGAATTCTCTCGTTACTAAGCCCAAAAACTTTACAAGCCCATTTGATTCGCCGCGACGAAATTACCTCAATTATATTCCCCGGATACAGTTCACGCAATTCGGCGTTGTGTAACCGTCTGAACTCTCCGGTTAACTCATCCTTCTTCGGTCCGAATATTCTACGCAATACTTTATTTTCAAAAACCATAAGACGCTGCTCATCCCTTAATGTAAGCGGCCAAGTTTCGCATCCATAAATAACTGTAGGCAATATAATTGTTTTATATACTCCAATTTTTAAGTTCCGGGACAAGAGGCGCGAACTGAGCAGTTTTGTCACAGAAAAATAACAAGCATTTCCCGCCTTCAGTCTAACCTTAATCTCTTCTTCAATTTCGTTTTTTCTAGTTATCGTAGAACCTAGATACCTAAATTTATCTACCTGTTCAAACATATTACCATCTATATCGATATCACCAATAGTATCGCCATTTTTTTCGACTAGTTTACATAAATAAAATGTTTTGAATTTTAAAGTGTTTTGATTTTACATAAAGTTTTTTATTCTATAATTTGTTGCAAAAATGTACATGTACGTCCTTGTTTCCTGACTTCAAGGAACATTCGCGCCAAATATGAAAAAATCGAACCACAGCATTATGGGTCAGAAATCAAATTTTGCAGGAAAATTTATTTTTGTATTCAATATAAATTCTATTTAGAACTAGAGTGATAAATATAACTTTGAATGGATATTGATATTGGAGGAACTTGAGGAAATCTGCTGCGCACATCACGTAACTTTCACTTATCACTATACTTTGAACAGATATTCTTTTCTAGTAATATTATGCTACTGAAAAATTTTTAAAGCATATTTTGAACGGAACTAAACCTTGAACGTTAGAGCTAACCGGTCAAAACTCATTTAGATCATTAAAATAACACAATAAAATCCTCGTAACTCCATATGTCTTTTTGAGCCACATAACTCAGTTCTCTGTCCATTTTATACACAGAGAGATTTGAAAGTTCATCTATATATTTAATCTATAAATGCGTAAGGGTTGTACTACATAGTAAAGTTACTTATCAACTATATCTGAAAACAGTATACATGATATTATATTCTTATTTTTCCCTTTTAAATTTTAAATTAAGACCGAGCTACGAGATTTTCATTGCCTACCATCGATAGGTCAAAAGTCGTCACAATAATTTCAAATGAATAATGTTGTGATGTGATCATAGATGGATGATTAATCAAATTATTAAAACCAAATAATTTTCTCTGGTGTTCCATAATGATGTTTTGTAACCAACTGATGATATATTCCTAAAGGGGACCCTACACGGTCAATCGGAATTGCACTAATGACGTTCCGAATTATCGTGTAAGGTAGTGAATGAAGTACTGATGGTGGTGCGCTGCGGATTTCCGAACATCCGGAAACCAAAGTTTCATTCACGAGAAGTGGAGGGGGGACTGAGGTAAAAGTAGTGGGGAGACTAACCATACTGCTGGATAGGTTAGGTTACCTAGGCCTTACAACCATTATAAATTTCTGATTTTCATTATATGTAAATAGTTAAATAATTTTTCATATCCCTTGTTTATAATTTTAAACCATCTTCAACTATTTCTTTTAAATAGTCAAGTGGGCAACAAATTAAAAAAAAAAAATGAGGAAACTTCACAATTTACTTAAAAAAAACTTTATCGTTGTTTATATTTATTAGTTCTTTTCCCATTTTTCTCAACAAATTTATTATTTTCGCCATACCTTTCCTTAATTTTTGTAAGTAGTAGACTTATATTTTACTAACTTTTGTCAAAACGATTTTCTATGAGACTACTACTAGATAGGTCAGTTTACCTAGGTCTCGTTATTAAGTAAATAGTTGTTTATATCCCTTGTCTATATTATTATTAACCATTTTCAACTATTTTTTCTTTAAATAGTCAAGTAGGCAATAAATTGAAGAGAATAAAAAGTGTAAACTTCACAATTTACTTATAGAAAAAAAATCTTAAACTGTTGTGTTTATTTCCATTTTTCTTAACAAATTGATTATTTTCGCAATAGTTTTCCTAGATTTTTGTATGTAGTTGACTTATATTTTTCTAACTTTGGTCTAAACGATTTTCAGGCACTAGGAAGTAATTATTATATCTTCGTTTTTCTCTTGATGCCCAATATTATAAATGACAATGTCCAAATCAGCATATCTATGCTGTTTCTTTGTTTACAACTGAGCTAAATTGGTATCAGCAACGATAAGTAATGATCAGTAATGATTGAACGTGTAAGGGTCTTCATGATCAAAGCGATCCCGAGCAATCTTGGCACTTCTTGTGACGTTCATTCATGAATTACCGTGTAGGGTCTGCTTAGTAATTGTTAGAATATAATATCGCATCTAAAGTTATTAAACTGCAGTAACTGTATTTAAGGTTAAAACATGTGTTCCCATCCATGAAATATTTTTATATTTCACATCTAATTTCACAAAAGTACAATAGTTTTTTGCAGTAGCGGATCCATGATTTATTTAGCTTATTTATAAATATATATATATATATATATATATATGCATTTAGTGATGATCACATTGGAGGAAAAAGGAACAAACAAACAACTGTATGAAATGTTGTTTTTTGGAACTTGTAATTTGTAATTCTTGTAAATTCTATTAAAATATAATTACAGGAACAATTATACTTTAAGAGGTAATTTATTTTTTCAAAGGACATGGTTATATTTTACCATTTCGAGAGAGACATTTGAACAGGTAAAAACAGACCTCAGGATTTACAAAAAGGCCATATAAACATTGGTTCGATTTTCGGCAAAATAGTAGGAAATTTAAATTTGTGTTTTTTAAGTAAGTAATAGTTTTAGATGAATAGCAGGCGATAACTAAACCATTATCTATATAAATAAAATAAAGATTTTGTCCGTCCATCGAATAGAATCAACCCGTTTTATGATATATTTCCGTTTCAAACATTGCAGACACCAAATTCACTTAAAAAAAATTTTTTTTCTGTCTATATGTCCGCATTGCAACGAAATTTTGTCAGCGGTAAGCTCAGCGATGGCTTATTGTACACTTAATGTAAAAATTTTACATTATATTAAGGTTTGCTTGACTTGAGACATAGGCTTTGAATGAAGATAGGACGAATATTGAGTTGAAGATATACTCAATTAAATATTGAGTAGAAAGAAATTTATGAATTATTGAGTAATTTGTCAAGAGATCCCGGTTAGGCAGTTACTTCGATTCCCATCCAAACCTACTCTATCGCGAGCCACATATAAAAGTTGTACTACTCAACTGATGGAAACAAATATCGCAACTCAACGGGAAAAATCCGGAATACCGAACATCTGTAACGCGTTGTCGCATGAAACGGGTAAAACACACTTATTTTTCAACTTGGTTCGATTTTTCCATTCAAGGTGACATTCGATTTAACCGTCTGAGCCTCACAAATGTATACATTTTTTAGGATTAACCAAACGAATTAACAGGAAATCGGAAAAAAATCCGCCCGCAACAATATTCAGATCAAGCTCTAATTTTACACGGATTTATGTGACTCAATGTCCAATGTTATTTTGGTTATTTTGCCAGCGATAAATTCAGCAGAGTCTAAAGAAGTGGAGAGACTACAACTCTTTTT